GGTCCCTCCCCACCCAAACCATCCCATTTTGGTTGTTTTTCCAGTTGCAGGTGTTACTTTTGGCTGGGGAATGTTGGTGCTCTGAGGTCTGGTTAAGCCAGGAGTGAGCTGCTGCCTCTGAGCAGGAGGCTGGGGCTGAATCATTGCCTTCTACCAGAGCAGAACCAGCTGCATTTAACTGGATAAACGTTTCACTGGAGTCACCCAGGGCTTGGTGGTGGTTTGTTTATAAAGACCTGGGGTCTGGGCTTGTGCTCAGCTCCTCCTCTGCCTCAGCTCCCTCAGGGGGAGGGGGTGGCAGCTGCTCCTGCCTTCAGGGGGGCATCAGGGTGAAGCTTTGGCTCTGTTCAGGGGGTGAGATCAGTGAGCTGGGTTCAACTGGGGCTGGGAGAGTCCTGGGGCACCTGAGCCCCCCCCTCAGTGACCCTCAAACCCGCCCTGGGAAGGGCTGAGAGCAGCTTTTTGGGGCTGAGAGCAGCTTTTTGGGGCTCCAAACCTCACTGTGACTGCTCTCCCTGCTCGCAGGCCGTCGCTGTGGGGCTGATGCTGCAATTTGAGGCAAAAACCCAAGAAAACCAAGGCAGGAGAGGGCAGGTTCTGGCCACGCCAGGCTCCCCTGGCAGGACATCAGCTCCTCAGTGGTGCCCACACGGGTGCAGGATCCTTCCCGTGGCAGAGGTCTGCAGGCACAAACCCAGGAAAGAAGATTTTTTGGGGGGGTTTTGCAGGGTCAAAAGCCTTGTGGAGTCTCTCCAGAGGGTTGGGGGTGGCCTGGGTGGGCTGAGAGGATGTCACAGCCGTGGGCTGACCTGTGGGTTTCACAGGGCAAACCCTGGGGCCGTCAGCAGCTTAGGGTGGGGATGCTGGAGCTGGTTAAACGTGCCCCTTGGGGTGCCAGCAGGCTTGGCTGGCAGCTCTGTAGCTCTGGGGGGTCCCCAGGGGTTTGGTCCTTGGGTCTGTGCTCTGAGCTGCCCCTTTTGGGGCACAGGGGCTGGGGGCTCAGGGTGGTGCCCAGGGGGACCAGCTCACCAGCAGGCTCTGTGCCCTGGGGAGGTGCCTTTACAGCAACAAGAAAAGAGAGACTCCAGGGCCAGCTGGAGAGGAAAAAACTGTGCCCAGCTCCAAATGCAGCTGGGAAGGAGGCAGGTGAAGCCCCCTGGGGGGTCACTCTCTGGAGGAGGACTCTGCAGCTGCAG